CGTATACTTTTGCCCGCGGGATATAATAATTTGCTTATTGCCTTTCGTATGAATTTCATATTAGAGTGTCATGTTTATTTATAATTAAAATTGCTTAACATAGAAGTGTTTGAGTGTTTCCAAGTCCATGCAAAACTCTTATTTATAAGAACTGTATCCTGCGTTGAGATATGAATTTGAAGACCTAACATAACATAAACACTAAGATAATCAATAAATGTTTAATCCAAGGTAATTGTTTTATCCCGATTGATACAACTCTGGATAACGAAGCTAAGCCTAATTATCATAACTGCCCACAATAACATAATCGCAAGCATTTGCATAAATTAATACGATTATCTCCGTGATTATCATAACTTATGCATAACATCACACACATTAGCATAATTTCCATGATTTACGCAATTTTTTCAATTTTTATTAATTTTTATTATTATTATCAAAATTTCATAATCCGACGTATACAACACCTCTTAGCCCTCTCTCCACTCTGAAGAAGGACCAATGCTCGGAACGTCATCAGCCGACTGTAGATTCGCCTGCTGCGATGGCTGCCGTTCGTGACAAATGTGAGACTTTTGGAGTTGTGACAGTCGGCCACTGCCAAGGGAAGCCCCCGTTCTTTAAATCTCGCGATGCCGAAAGTCACCCTGCCCTAGTGAACGTCTTACTCGCCAAAAACAAATAAGGCTATGTTGTTGCCGTGCAACATTCATGCCTCCGGCCAACCCCCTTATATGTGTTCAGGATTAAAGTCTTCTATACTGCCAATCCCGAGCTTAAAGACGAAAATCCAAATCTGTGGATCTTAGCACAGGGATTTTTGCGGCTCTTGGAAGCATACAGGAACGCCGCTACTTACGCACATTCGACTTAACGAGAGATACGAACAAACCTGTCCCGAAGTCCAGTTACCTGCTCCGACCGGGAGTCGTAAGTTAAATTGCCGCGCAATAGATGGCGGTGGTGGCATCTACATCTGCAGAACGTGAAGAACCAGTGGCATCTACATCTGCAGCACATGAAGAACCAGTGGCATCTACAGAATATGAAGAACCAGTGGCATCTACAAAATATGAAGAACCAGTGGCATCTACATCTGCAGAACGTGAAGAACCAGTGGCATCTACATCTGCAGCACATGAAGAACCAGTGGCATCTACAGAATATGAAGAACCAGTGGCATCTACAGAATATGAAGAACCAGTGGCATCTACATCTGCAGAACGTGAAGAACCAGTGGCATCTACATCTGCAGCACATGAAGAACCAGTGGCATCTACAGAATATGAAGAACCAGTGGCATCTACAGAATATGAAGAACCAGTGGCATCTATATCTGCAGAAAATGAAGAACCAGTGGCATCTACATCTACAGAACATAAAGAACCAGTGGCATCTACATCTGCAGAAGTGAAGAACCAGTGGAATTTACATCTGCAGAACGTGAAGAACCAGTGGCATCTACATCTGCAGAACATGAAGAACCAGTGGCATCTACATCTACAGAACGTGAAGAACCAGTGGCATCTACATCTGCAGAACATGAAGAACCAGTGGCATCTACATATGCAGAACATGAAGAACCAGTGGCATCGACATCTGCAGAACGTGAAGAACTAGTGGCATCTACATCTGCAGAACGTGAAGAACCAGTGGCATCTACATCTGCAGAACGTGAAGAACCAGTGGCATCTACATCTGCAGAACGTGAAGAACCAGTGGCATCTACATCTGCAGAACGTGAAGAACCAGTGGCATCTACAGAACATGAAGAACCAGTGGCAGCTACATCTGCAGAACATGAAGAAGCAGTGGCATCTCCATCTACAGAACGTCAAGAACCAGTGGCATCTACATCTGCAGAACGTGAAGAACCAGTGGCATCTACATCTGCAGCACATGAAGAACCAGTGGCATCTGCATCTACAGAGCATGAACCAGTGGCATCTACATCTGCAGAACATGAAGAAGCAGTGGCATCTCCATCTACAGAACGTCAAGAACCAGTGGCATCTACATCTGCAGAACGTGAAGAACCAGTGGCATCTACATCTGCAGCACATGAAGAACCAGTGGCATCTGCATCTACAGAACATTAACCAGTGGCATTTACATCTGCAAAACATGAATAAGCAGTGGCATCTACATCTACAGAACGTGAAGAACCAGTGGCATTTACATCTGCAGAACGTGAAGAACCAGTGGCATCTCTGCTTTTTTTTTCTGCTTTTCTGCTTTTCGTCACCTCCTTGCAAACTCGCTTTCAATGTTATCCCCATCATCGGATCCAACCGTCTGCGCTCTCCAACTAGAAGCTGACATGAGGGCGGCGCTGGACAAACTAGCTCCACTAAAATCACGAACCGCTAGGCAGTCTTCTCACGACACTCACTGGCTCTCAAGAGATGCCATCATTGCTAAGCGAACCAGGAGGCGTCTTGAACGTATCGCATCCCGCAGTGGTCTACCTGCTGATCGACTTGCTTACAGAGTCGCCTGCAGGAAAACTAACAAACTGATCCTTGTCTCACGTTCCTCCCACATTGAGGAACGCATCAAAAAAGCAACCGGAAACCCGCGCATTCTATGGAAAACTCTCAAAGATCTTCTCCATCCTGGTAGCACCATGGTCCCTCACCTTAGCGATCCCCTTGCCTCACTGAAACTTGCCACCTCTTTTAATACTTACTTCAACAACAAGCTAATCGCCGTCGCAAACTCGTGCACGTCTACTGACACATTGCACCATTGTACCCCGCTCATGGTACCTAAAATTGTAAGCACTAACCCAGACACTCTTCTAACTATGCTAAAGCCTGTGTCTACAAAAGACGTTTTCGCTTTAATTGAATCACTTCCTTTGAAGTCATCTCCACTCGACGTGCTCCCAGGTTCCTTGTTCAAGCAATGTGCTCCGGAACTCGCCATCATGATCAGGAACATCGCAAATGCCTCCTTCTCTTCGGGGTGTTTTCCGTCCAACCTCAAATCTGGCCTGGTTTCTCCCTTGTTAAAGAAACCAAATCTAGATCCGGATGACCCATCTAGTTATCGTCCCATCACTAACCTCTCGAACCTCTCTAAACTCCTTGAACGACTAGCCCTCGCCCAGCTACAACCACACGTCACCTCCTCCGCAAACTACTGCAACTTCCAGTCAGCTTACCGTCAAAACTATTCCACAGAAACAGCACTCACTAGGGTGCTCGATGACATTTTAACGATCGTTGATTCCGGCTCAACTGTTGCACTTGTTAGTCTGGACATTTCGTCAGCCTTCGACACCATCAACCATTCGCTCCTTACTTCCCTCCTGAAATCCGACTTCGGTATATGCGGCTCAGCACTCAAGTGGATAGCTTCGTACCTTTCTGACCGGCAATCCTCAGTCAGGGTGGGCATGCCCACATCGCCTGAAACAAGAGCATTATGCGGGGTTCCCCAGGGCTCTGTTCTAGGTCCCCTGCTCTTCACAGCCTACACTTCCCCGATCGGCCGACTCATTGCAAGCTTCGGTGTTAAGCATCACTCATACGCGGATGACACGATTCTATTCACCGCCATCGATTCTAGCAATGCATCTGGATTCGAGAGGCTCTCGGAATGTACCACCGCCGTGCAACAATGGTTCACTGCACACAACCTAGCCCTTAATCCGAAAAAGTCAGTGGCCATCATGTTAGGTACCAAGCAACGTCTCAATTCAGCAGCACTCCCCACACACATACACATCTTCGGTCATAGCATCAAGTTCACCAACCACTTCAGCTACCTCGGTGTCATCCTAGATTCAACTTTATCCTTCGACCGTCAAACCAACTATATCATCAGCTCATGTAACTTTCACCTGAAGGCTCTTAGACACATACGTCCTCTCATCTCTACTGAAATTGCCAACACTTTGGCATGTTGCATAGTTGGGTCTCGCCTTGACTATTGTAACTCCGTCCTTGTCCGGACCTCCGCTGGCAACCTAAGGAAGCTTCAAAGACTACAAAATAACCTAGCACGCGTCGTCATTGCCCACACTCATCCCCGCCTCGACTCACTAGCTCGTCTCCGCGCTCTCAACTGGCTCCCCATTGCCAGTAGGGTCACATACAAGACCGCCTGCCTCTGCCACAATGCCTTCATATCCGCCTGCCCGCCGTATCTTTCTTCATTACTGACAACTTGCAGCTCAGCACACGGCAGATGCCTGCGCAGCGCGACTCACGACCTCCTCTCAATACCAAGATCCAGGATGGTCATGTCTACGCGCCGCTTCTCGGTGGCAGCCCCAACAGTCTGGAACGATATCCCTCTGCACATTCGCAGCATCACCTCAATCGCCTCCTTCAAGAGACACTTAAAAACTCACCTCTACAATCATGCTTTTGAGCGACTCTGAGCTTGGCTCCGCGCCTCTGAGTTGCGGCCACTACGTCTGCAAATTTGCGCGCGTTACAAATTGTACTATTATTATTATTATCTACATCTGCAGAACGTGAAGAACTAGTGGCATCTCCATCTACAGAACGTGAAGAACCAGTGGCATCTACATCTGCAGAACGTGAAGAACCAGTGGCATCTACATCTGCAGAACGTGAAGAACCAGCGGCATCTACATCTGCAGAACGTGAAGAACCAGTGGCATCTACATCTGCAGCACATGAAGAACCAGTGGCATCTACAGAACGTGAAGAACCAGTGGCATCTACATATGCAGAACGTGAAGAACCAGTGGCATCTACATCTGCAGAACGTGAAGAACCAGCGGCATCTACATCTGCAGAACGTGAAGAGCTAGTGGCATCTCCATCTACAGAACGTGAAGAACCAGTAGCATCTACATCTGCAGAACGTGAAGAACCAGTGGCATCTGCATCTACAGAACATGAACCAGTGGTATTTACATCTGCAGAACATGAATAAGCAGTGGCATCTACATCTGCAGAACGTGAAGAACCAGTGGCATCTACATCTGCAGAATGAAGAACCAGTGGCATCTCCAGAAGATTGTGCAACTTTTAATTCCATTCCTCGTGTTTAGTATACACGCCGTACATGATTGCAATCGACAGAAGTTGGACTTACGAACAGACCTCTAACTCGTTCGCAAGTCGAGGCGTCCCTGTATTTGGTTTGCTATCACCGGTGTCTGATCCCAGGCATCGCAGTGGGTACACTGTGGACACAGTGGCTGGCGTTCCAAGGGCAAGAGGCTCTCTGTCATTGTTGAACCTAGTTTATCTGCCCAGAGACGATGATGGTTTCACATCGCACTTCCAGTGTGCTTGGGTCTTGCCTCGGAATTCCAAGTTCCCTCCACAAGTTACCAACATGCTCAAGAAACGTCAGGTTAAATATGCCACGCAGAATTGTACGAAAGAAAGCCAAGTGGTGGGGTTTCGTGATGTTGATTTAGAAGAAATATACATTTGTGTTTTATTAAGTCAATTCTGCTTAAGAGGGATTAAACATAATTTTAAAAAGAGAAATGTACATTTGAATCCCAAACACTGCTTGACATTGTGGCGGACAGGCCTGTTAAAAGATGCATCACCGGGCCACTGTGTTTGGGAGACACAGATGCATTTTCTTTGTTCTTTCAGTAAAGTCACGTTGAAGGGAAATAATAAAAGAATAAAAATAAAACATAATAAAATTCTCACGTTTCGGCCACAACGCAAGCAGCCGTCCTCGAAACGTGAGAATAATTTTATGTTGTATTTTTATTATTTTATTATTTCCATTCTACGTGACTTTACCGAAAGAACCAAGAAGATGAATCCCTGCAGTCACGAAAGCTTTAAATCGAGACACAGATGCAGTTCACTCTTTACCGAGGGCTCATCGGTGAGCCAAAGTCAGCTGCAGACTGCCACAGAATATGCAAAATGTACAGCCTTGTTGTCAACCTACCACTGAACCACTGCTCTCCTGATGCCTGCGCGAGGTTGTGCACATTTACACTTTACGTACCGTTGAAGTAAACTGCGAGCAGCTGGACATTTGCGAAAAAGAGCTTCATAGCTCATTGGATTCCTCCAGTACAAATAAATATTCCGAGTGTGATGATTGGGGAGTGAACAAGACGGGGGGGGGGGGGGGGGGTGAAAAGCAAACAACGCAAAGTTTACGGCAACCCACGAAACCTAAAAACCAGCGCCTTTCGGTAAAGTCACGTAGAAGGGAAATAAAAAAATAAAAAAAATAAAAATAATCAAATAATTCTCACGACGTTTTGGCCACAATGCAAGCAGCCGCCCTCAGGTTTTATTTTTATTATTTTATTATTTCCCTTCTACGTGACTTTACCGAAAGAAACAAGAAGATGAATCCCTGCAGTCACGAAAGCTTTAAATCGAAATTTAACCCACGCCTTTGTTGAAGTGAACAATCGCGCGAGCACGCTTCACCGCCCTGGTCACCGACAGTTGCTGCTGATGGTGGTGGGGGGGGGAGCGCAGAGTTGGGGACGTGGCGGAACAGGACAAGGGATTTGTCTGCACTGCCCCGGGCAACCCCCGCAACAATCCGTGGTCAACTCCGTGGTCTGTGGAAGAAGACAGCCATTCAGACTTGCCTTCCTTTTCATTGATGACATCTTTATTTACCGATTACCTTTAGGCTATCCATTGCGCAACGGTTGCACTTTATTTTGTGCTCGGTTGCCAAGTTACTTTACTCGGTCGGAGTCAGCCGTCGAGGTCGTGACGGGTTTCCATTTCTCGATTGAAAGCTTTCGTGACTGCAGGGATTCATCTTCTTGGTTCTTACGTGACTTTACCGAAAGAACCAAGAAGAGGGTTTCCATTTCATTTCTCTGGCTCCATCGCCCCCTGTACCGTTCCCGTTCTGCTGCAATGTGCGCCGACGATGCCCACTTGATCGACGGCGCTACTGGCACGTAAAATTAGAGGGTTGAATATACTCGTGGTTCTTTCGGTAAAGAAACTAGAACCGTGAATGGGCTCGGGGTTGATAATGTTGTTTTTGTTGTTGTATTTTTGATAATTGCATTGCGAAAAAAAGAACGTGAAAAGCATCATAGGTTTCGATTCCCGCTCATGGCCAACATGAGTGACCATTAACTGAACTGGTCCTGGTCTTCCCCCTAGCTCGCAGTCACGAAAACTTCAAATCTAGAGGGTTGAATGAACGCGGGCCCGCGAGCCCTGCGACAAACCCCTGTTTGTGCCGCGTCGGTCACCGTCACCCAAGCAAAAACCTCGGGGGCTCAACTCCCGCTTGGGACCGAGCCGTGACGAGGTCGGGCGCTGGGGACTCGTAGTTGAGGCCCACGAAGCGACTGCGCCCTGCCGGGTCTGGGTGTGCTCCCACGCATGCCCCGTGGCTGTTCTCCGGACACTTTCCCAAGTTCCTTGCGCGTGCCGTGAGAACGCTCTCAAATGAACGCGCAGGTCAAACACCCCCCCCCCCCCCCTCCTCGAAGTTGGTAGCCGTCTGGGAAGGGAAAACAATAATCGCGACGCTCAGGCGAAGTTTTCCTTGGCGAAACAAATTCAATTTAGTGACCGCTCAAGACGCGCGCGCACGTCACGGCGCGTGACGCCCTTCGCACGGCGAGCCCCAAGCTGCAGCGGCAACGTCGAGCGACGTTGGAGGGGAAATCTTTCCCGAGGGCCAAATAGGATTTACGCGTTGACACACGCGCAGCCTGGCGCTATCCAATAACGCAACGTGCACGTCAACCGGGCGTAAAGGAGACATAGATAGGCAGTGACCGAGCGTGATGTGGCCAGGTCAAAGATTCATCTTCTTGGTTCTTTCGGTAAAGTCACGTAGAATGGAAATAATTAAATAATAAAAACAAAACAAAATACAATTATTTTCACGACGTTTCGGCCACAACGCAAGCAGCCGTCCTCGAAACGTCGTGAGAATTATTTAATGTTTTATTTTTATTATTTTATTATTTCCCTTCTAAGTGACTTTACCGAAAGAACCAAGAAGATGAATCCCTGCAGTCACGAAAGCTTTAAATCGACAGGTCAAAAGATATTTTCCCCTCGAGTACCCCATTTATTAGTGCGCCTAAACTGCTTGCAGCGACGGATGACTATCGTCCGTGCGGGCTGTACGTGACCACGAGTCTCGTGAATCTAAGTTGTGGGTCACATCAGGCCCGTGGGCCAATGGTTCCTCAGCCCTGAGCTAGACCAACAGCTGGTGGGCAGAGAGACGAGGGAGGGGGGGGGGGGGGTTGCCGTGTGGGGGGCCGCTGTTGGCTTGTTTCATGGTCCACCGAGCGAGGGTCGGTGTGGGTCGCGACGAAGGGATGCAGGCCGGCGTTTTGAAGGGAAAAGTGAAGACGGGGGGGGGGGGCTCTGGCGAGCGACTTCGAGGCCCCCATGCCCCCCGCCATCCCCGGAGAGGTTCAGAGGCGCAGTGTGAGCGAAGTCTGCGCCATCGCGTTGTAGATGAACGTGTCGTTGAACGGCACGAACTGGTGCGTGATCACTTTGATGGCCTCCTGCGCGGCCGTTCCTGCGAGGGTGGGGGGGGGGGGACAAGGGTGGGGGACGAGCGAGACGGTCGCTTTGGTTGCTCTGCACACCGAAGCCGCTCACGAGGACTACGCAGAAATTTCGATTTAAAGCTTTCGTGACTGCAGGGATTCATCTTCTTGGTTCTTTCAGTAAAGTCACGTAGAATGGAAATAATAGACTAAAACATAATAAAATAATTCTCACGACGTTTCGGCCACAACGCAAGCAGGTGAAGACCAGGTCTGCCGGGGAGACGCTGAAAGAACCAAGAAGAAGGACTACGCAGTTGAGGACTCGGCAGTTTTCCACCGCGCAGCCGACCCGTGCCGCGACCGCGTCTAGCCGTGCCCGGCGCGGGTCCGGAGTCGCCAGTGTTTACTCTACATTCTGCTAAAATCTGAAAATGATTAACCCTGACCCCTGACCTTGCTTGGCCCTTAGTCACAAACGGCTGAGTCCAGATTTAGATTTCAGTCGGGTATGTTTTGGTAAGAGAAACGAGAAGCATTTTTGCATCCGGCACCGCACATCCATCGCACTGGTCAACACACTTTTTCTGGCATAAGGTATTCCAACGGTTTTATAACACTGGTCAACACACTTTTTCTGGCATAGGCCATTCCAAATCTGGCATCAGTTTTTGTCTATCACATCAGGTTTTTGAGATATCAAATATTGCATTTTCAATAAAAAATGCAGAAGAAAAATATTAAATGTGGATATCTACATAAACACTATCCTGAAAATACAGCACCATATTTTAACACTAAAGCAGTCACTGACTCGCAACAACTTGCAATCATAAGTGACAGAGTTAATTTCGGGTAAAATCTATGAAAATGGGGTATGCCGATAGCATAAAAATGAGATGTGATAGAGCAAATCTGAGATCAGATTTGGAATCGGCACCCTGAAATTAGTCTAAAACAGCTGCAAAAGTCCAGGCCAGAATTTTTTTTTTGTTGACCAGTGTTATCCACCTCTTGTGTTGAAAGTACCGTTAGCGTCCGCCGCTTACTCCCGTCTACCAGCGACTGAATGAAACATTTTCAGTCACCATCTGTCACACGCTCCTGCGACTTACACTCCAACTAGCACCTGCACGTCAGCGACTCTCATTGCTCCATAACCACGGCACATTTCCCTTTCAGGCCGCTCCCTCCTTTGCCTGCAACTCTGTCGTCAGTCTCGACCACCGACTATCATCCCTGCTCGCGACCGGTCCCTGGGCCAAGCCCACTAACTTTTCATTACAATCAACACGATTCCTCTAACTTGCGTGGTCTCTCTCTCTCTCTAATACGAGCATTGCTCTTCCTCGTCTGTCAGTGTAATTCCCCGGGCCGATGTGCATTGGTGGTTCAAGCTGCGATGAAGTCTCGGCTGCCGCGCGCGCAGCACACACGAGTTTAAATCGTCCGTTCGTCTCAATCGCTCGCACCTCCGATGAAGGAGGCGACGGTGTGAGGCTCCGCCGCTCCGTACCGACAGCTGCAAGACAACAGCAAAGACACACGTGGCAGCTTGCTCAGACACACGTGGTTAAACAGGTGGTTAAACAGGTGGTTAAACAGGTGGTTAAACAGGTGGTTAAACAGGTGGTTAAACAGGTGGTTAAACACGTGGTTAAACACGTGGTTAAAGACGTGGTTAAACACGTGGTTAAACACGTGGTTAAAGACGTGGTTAAACACGTGGTTAAACACGTGGTTAAACACGTGGTTAAACACGTGGTTAAAGACGTGGTTAAACACGTGGTTAAACACGTGATTAAATACGTGGTTAAACACGTGGTTAAAGACGTGGTTAAAAACGTGGTTAAACACGTGGTTAAACAGGTGGTTAAATACGTGGCTAAACAGGTGGTTAAACAGGTGGTTAAAGACGTGGTTAAACACGTGGTTAAACAGGTGGTTAAACAGGTGGTTAAACAGATGGTGAAACATGCAACCCGGGGGACAGGGGAGGGGGGGCAAATGGGCAGTTGACCCCCCACCCCCTGTAATGTCACAGAGGATGTTTGAGATTTATCATGAATGTAAAATTGTTGCACATAACGTAAAAGGAGAGTGTGCGTGGAGGGGAGTGGAGTGAGATGAGAGGTAGGACGGTGCGTGGAAGGGAGTAAAGTGAAATAAGAGGGGAGAGGGAAGAGAGTGCGTAGAGGGGAGCGGAGTGAGCTGAGCGGGACAAGGTAGGCAGGGGCGAGTCTACGGAGCATCTAGAAGGTGATGAGCGGGAACCCCGGAGCTCGGCTCGTGCGACCGTAGGATGGGAACCGAGGGACGTCTGGCGGCGGGACGCTGCACGTACAACTCATGCAGGTACTCGTCCTTGACGGTACAGCGGAGCCCCCACTCCTGCAGCAGGCCGGCCACGCACGCCCGCAGCTCGGCCACATCCCGGTCCACGTCCTCGGCACGCACACCTAGCCAGGAACAGCGGTAGTGAGCGTTGCAGGTGGGTGACATGTTAACTACCTCGCCTGGTATGCAGGAGGTAGTGGGTTCGATCCCGACCCTGACCCCTGTATATTTGAAGTTTGCGTGTCTCTCTGCCCATGGATTTTTCTCCGGGTCCTCCGGTTTTTACCCTCCAGGTTTAGGAATATGCGTTTAGAGTATTTGTCTTGCGATAAATTTCCACGTGATGAGCCACGCAGTTGAGCTACCATTTGTGGCCAGGTCACTTCTGAAAAAGAGCTACGTAGCTCAGTAAGCCTTAACTTGGTAAAACAAAAATAATTTATATATTTTTTATAGTATATTAGTTTCAAATGAGTACCTGGTGCGGTGTGTAAACATCGCCACCGGGGTGACAAATGGGTGGTGCTGGCCACTCACCCCCTGGTGTGCCATGCCGGCCTTCATAGGTGCACATTAACAGCACTTGCCTAAACAGTCTGGCTATACGGGGGTCTTTGTACACATGAGGCACGTTGGCATAGTAGGGGGCACAGCTGATGCATCTGCCAGTCACATCAGTCAGTCAACCCCATAGCACTTGGGTCTGCCCCGTGACCTCCTGCCAGCGGGCGTTCGACACTTTACGTGGCCTCAAAGTGCACATAGCCTGGCACAGGCGCCGTGGTGACGGCACGGCCACTTAGTGGCGAACGGCTGTTGTTTGTGCGGACACGCGGTACGCGCGCTCATACCTGGGTAGCGGCCGTACTGCTGGTAAAAGCGGTCCACTGCCCGCAGCATGACGTACAGCACCGCCTCGCCTTCCGCCGACTCCAGCTGACTGCCTGCACAAACGCGCACAGCAAAGATCCCCCCCCCCCCCGTCCCGTATAGCCTTAACAGAATGTTGTGGCGAGTGCTGTTTGCGACATGCCACCTATGAAGGCCGGAACAGCACACGAGGGGGGTGGGTGGCCAGCACCACGCCCGGCCGACTTTGTCTACCAAGTGGCGATGCTTACACATCCCACCAGGTATAGTTCTCGTTTGAGGCCGAGTCGACCTGGGGGAGGCCCAGGATTAGCTTAGATATCATCACTGGTGTTGGCCCAGGAGCGGGAATCCAACTCGGATCGCCGGGTTCGTAGCGCAGTGACACGCGCACACACACACAGCAACAAACATGGGTAAGATCAGCTTGGCCAGGGGTAACGATATGACAACACCGTGCCCTCCCTCCCTCCAACTAAAGTTGAAAGCATTATCACGTAAACTCTGTCGCGCTACGCTCAAGCATCGTCCAATATGAACGATATTTGACTGAAAATCTGCGTTGCTATGAGGAACTTCCCCTATAGAAAACCGGTCACGTTGATCAAAGCGCTTTAATCAACACTTCGTGATAAAACGGCCAGCACCAAGAAGGATAAGCCTTCTTGGTTCTTTCGGTAAAGTCACGTAGAAGGGAAATAATAAAATTATAAAAATAAAACATTATAAAATAATTCTCACGACGTTTCGGCCACAATGCAAGCAGCCGTCCTCAGGCGAAGAACAGGTCTGTCGGAAAGACAGCGTCTGAATGAAACGTCGTGAGAATTATATTTTTAAAAAGTTTAATTTTTATTATTTTATTACTTCCCTTCTACGTGACTTTACCGAAAGAACCAAGAAGATGAATCCCTGCAAGTCACGAAAGAAGCTTTAAATCGAAATTTAAAGGATAAGCCTTGTCGGCCAGTGCGATGACATCACACGCCGTGCGACTCCCTCCCTCCCTCCCTCCCTCCCTCCCTCCCTCCCTCTCTCTCTCTCCCACCCTTCCACTCCACTGCACTCCCTCCCCGCGCGCACTGCAGATGAACAGTCAACCCGTGGCGCTGCAGACGAAACAACCGCGTGAACACGGAGAATGTCCAGTCGTGGGTTAGCAACTGGCGGCAGGTCACCTATGTCGGCGGTGAGGGCGGTCTCAGCGTCGTACTCCTCGGCCAGCGAGCGACACCTCACGACGCGCAGGAAGGCCGCGTGCTTGCCTGCGAGAGGAGCAACACGACAACAATCTCCACGTTAAACGGGGTGGGTGGGGGGGGCGGTGGGGCCTCCACATCTCACTGAATATTTGTTGAGGTCACTGCTATCACTCGCTGGACCGAGGTAGCAGGTGACACGTGGCTAGTAGCCACAGCCGTAGTAGCGAGAGTTACGTTGGATGTGGAAATAAGGAGTTAAGACGTGGATATAACGCTTTGTACCCTGTGTAGGGTTAGCACAAATTGTGGAAGATTGCATATGAACAATAATAATAATTATATTTATTACAACAGTGTAATGGAATCAAGATGCTTTTCCGGGAGTGTGCTGCCAAGTTTCTGCAGTGAGGGTGATGTTGCTGCTGTGTCGAGTAAGATGCAGGGTACTTATTTATCAGCATTGGCATAAACTTAATTTGGAACTTTCGTGACTGCAAGAATTACTCTTTGGTTCTTTCGGTAAAGGCACGTTTCGATTGCCTATGTTTGTCTCTCTCTATGTATCTCTGTGATATCTGTCTGCTTATATGTTTGTCTATATGTCTCTGGTTCTGTGTTTAATCTCTATCTCAAATTTAGCATTCTCAGGAAGAACGTAATCAACCAGGTAGGGTGTTGACTGTTATGTTATCCGACTCTCGGTTGTATTGCATTACATTTCTGAGTATACTAGATTTGTGTTTCTATTTCATTTATACCTGATGATGATTGCTTGTGTTGCAATCGAAACGTCGTATGCTAGTATTTAATTTATTATTTTATCTTTATACGTCACTTTACCGAAAGAACCAAAGAGCATTTGGCATATTTTGCGTGAATGTACGTCGCCCTTCCTTGGCACCGTACGTAGCCAAGCGTGCAAATCGGATGTTGGGTTTTTATTTCTTTTTAGCCCGAGGAAGAAACCGGAGCACTTGGGAGGAAACCCATGCAGAACAGGGTGTGTGTGTGAGAGAGAGAGAGAGAACGCACCAACTACACACGCAGAATGGCACCCTAGTCAGGAGTCTAACCCGGGCCTCCCTCCCTTCTTCGCCGTGTTATCCATTAGATAAAGGGTCGGCGTCAGCGCACCCGAGCGGTGGCTGAGCACGGCTACGGATGCTGTGCCACGTGACATTACTCACAAAACAGCCTCACGTCTCCCTCCGATATGCCGTCCGCCGGCTGCGAAACACACAAGCGGCGGCCGCGTTAGTCCTCCGTGCTCGGCAATGCGAACCTCAAGACATGTTCACCGTCCATTAATAACAACTCATCACAACTGAGTAAGTTCGGTATCTGTGCCACGCGCCTCACCCGTCCCAGAGATTGCAGCAGCGAGGCAGTGAGCTTCCCAACAGCATCAGCGTCTTGCTTCGCTTTTTCCCGGTACCTGCAACAGCGAAATGTTGTCACACTGAGCCCCTATTCACACTGATGGAGTACAGGAGGTGTCGGTGTGGCCCAACAATGCTGATGAGTTTGGGGAGACATATTTTTGAAGGCTTTACAATTAAATTTGAAAGCATTATCAACGTATGCTCCGTTGCTCTACTCGCAAGCATCGTCCACTATGAGCGATACTCGATTGTGCAGAAAAATGGGTCACGTTGATCAAAGGGCTTTCCCAAAACTTAGCGATAAAACGTCCAGCATCAGGCGATAAAAGGTCCAGGACTAAGATGGTAAAAGCCTTCATAATAAAGGTTTTTTGAGCTAGATCGCGTTATTTATAAATGTGTCGTAACCCTCCACCACCCAACACGGCCAAACAGTAAAAAATGTGTTACGTTGACAAAAGACAAATAGTTCACTGCTTTAGCCCACCGGTGTGTTGAATCAACATCATTTAAAATTCAACACACCGGTGGGGCTAAAGTAGTGAACTATTTGTCCTTTGTAAACGTTACACATTTTTTACTGTTTGGCCGTGTCGAGCGGTGGAGGGTTACGACACATTTATAAATAACGCGATCTAACCCAAAAAACCTTAATTATTAATAATATTGGTCGCGAAAGCCTACGTGTTAAACAAGGCAAGCCTTGTCGGCCAATTCGATGACATCGCGCGCGACGTGGTCTCTCTCCGTGCGGCTCGGAACGTAACGTCGCCGCTAAATAACCGCTTGGACGGATTCCGGAGTGTTCCGGAATCCATCCAAGCGCACGTCTCCTTCCTAGCTTACGTCAATCCCGAGGCGGCTCGGTGAAAAGACAAACCAGGACACGGCACGTCTGTCTAAGGGGCGGGGGTCAAAGTTCAGCGACGGGCGCCCCAGGGCGGAGAGGCTCGGGGTCACGCACACGTTCTGGAGGCGCACGAACTTGTCCGAGTCGGCGATCATGTCCGGGATGGAACCACGCAGCGGCAACACGCCCTCCCCCCCCTCGGCCTCCACGAAGTCTCGCAGCGCTCGCACGAGCACCCAGAAGTCGGCGCTCTGGTGGCGGGAACGTCAGAGCGGGAAGAGACTGTTACATGGCGGTGGCCGGGGGAGCTGTGGTGCGCGAGAGAGTTTGGGTGTGGGCGAGCGGGAGGTTGGGTGTGGGTGAGCGGGAGGTTGGGTGTGGGTGAGCGGGAGGTTGAGTGTGAGTGAGTGTGAGTGAGTAGGAAGTTGAGTGAGTGAGCAGGAGGTGAGTGTAGGTGAGTATGAGGTTGAGTGAATGAGCAGGAGGGTGAGTGTGGGTGAGTGGGAGGTTGATTGTGGGTATGAAGTTGAGTGAGTGAGCAGGAAGTTGAGTGTGGGTGAGTGGGAGGTTGAGTGTGAGTGAGTATGTAGTTGAGTGAGTGAGTATGAGGTTGAGTGAGTGAGCAGGAGGTGAGTGTGGGTGAGTATGAGGTTGAGTGAGTGAGCAGGAGGGTGAGTGTGGGTGAGTATGAGGTTGAGTGAGTGAACAGGAAGTTGAGTGTGGGTGAGTGGGAGGTTGAGTGTGGGTGAGTATGTAGTTGAGTGAGTGAGTATGAGGTTGAGTGAGCAGGAAGTTGAGTGAGCACTCGGCTGACATTTCCGCCCACCTTGGCCGAGAGGCTTTGACAGCTGGGGTCACTGAAGAGTTGCCGAATACCATCAGGAATCTGGACAAAGCGCAGTCGAAAAAAGAAAAAAAATGTGATTGTGCGTTCGATTTAAACGCCACACGCGCAATCCATATTTTGATTGCGGAAGGCACCCGGATACGGAGCTCACGGTGGGCTAAGTTGCGCGCTGGCCGCAGGAAGGGGATAGCCCCTCACCAACTACCGTCGACGCCTGCGATGAGCACGGTTGGCTACGTATGGCGCGAAAGAAGTTCAACATACATATGTAGTGACACAGCGCCGACTGCTGTCCAGCAGCGGAAACTGCGGTGGACAGTAAGCGCACAGGCCGTGGAGCGTGTCCACGGTGTGTGTGTGTCTCAACAATAAACCCGGTGTGTGTGCCGGCAGGGCGGAGGTACTAGGGCAAGGGTCACGGAAGACCTCATCGGGAGGCACCTGGAGCCCGCTAGTGGGTTCGAGAAGGGAGCGGAGAACGGGGAATGAAAGCAGCGGAGAGCGGGAGCTCCGGGCTGCCGGTTTGGGGAGTGGACTCGTCTCGTCTCGTCGTCTTCGCCCGATAATTGTGTGGTCGGAGAGTAGTTGGCTGTCTCGGTCGACGCCGTCGGCGCAACGCGGTCAGGGTTGTGTCTAGGCCGGGCTGTAAGGCAACGTGGTCGAGAGAGGAGGCGATCCGTGCGAGTGTGAACGGCCGGAGTGGTGTAACGGAAATAAAAGAGAAGGTACCTCCTGCAACTACGTCTCTGACTGCGTGCGCTACACACACAGAGGAGGACACTACACATATGTAATAAAAAACTTTGTCACACACTGCTGGTCTCCGTTGCTCTTTTTATTTAGCTTCTTGCTCGCACCCCGCTGGTCCTGACAGCGGACCAGCGTCTCCTCGCGCGCCCCGCACGCGCTCCCTCGTCAATCCTTCCGCCCCCCCACTCCGCACACCGCTGGCCGACGGTGTGCTGAGGTCCTCCAGCCACGTGGCTGATGGCGCGGATCCCCTCCGGCCACCCAACGTGGTTCAGCTTCCTCACTCCAACAACTCACCCGGAGCCCTTCCGGGCTCCCCCCTATATCCCCTTCACCACGTGATCCTGTCTCCTCCCCTTCCGACACCGTCAGATCCGGCCTTCCCATAGCGCACTGCTGGCTCCACCCCCGTTCACCTCGCTTCCGATTGGACCCGAGGTGAGCGGCGGGCCCTCCCACACGCCCCCCATGCTGGGCTCCGCCCCCCAATACCCCGGGCCGTATGATTGGGCCAGAGCCCAGCAGCGAACCCCGTTTACGCTCGCGTTACACATACATACACGCAAACGCAGGCAGCAGCCCTCGCTCACCCGTGTTGGGTTGAGAGCGGTCGTTGTGTTCTTGATGGCCTCCTCAAAGTTCTCCTCGACAGACGACGCTCCGTGCTCGTTCTTGATCATCCCTGCAAGAACGAACGCTCCGCACAATCAGCCGCTAGCAGGGGGCGTCTATCCATATGTAATGTGAGGATATATCCGGGTTGCTGATGGGTCACACCTCGCTACGATGATTGTCTCTGCCGGTCCTGGCCCATAGCCAATGGGGGGGAAGTCTAGGGGCGTGGCGCTGACGTAATGGGAAGGTGACATCTGTAAGTAGAGGATTGGTTCTGCTGGCTTTAGCCACAGCCAATGGGGGGACGAGTCAGGGGCGCGGTCCTGGGAACGTACGATGAAGTCTAGAAGATTCCATAGAGGTCAACCAGGATTGGTGGAAAGGTACCACGTGACCCGGGTATTAAAAGGGGTGGAGACGGACAACACGTGGTGAGATCTGGAACGAACGGAGGGTGAGGCCACGCTGGAGTGGGGTCCAGGCTACCACGTGGCCACGCGTGTCTCTCACTCCCTCTCACGCTGTCTGTCAGCAGCGTGAAGGAGTAAGACGGGAGTGTTGTGAACGAAAGACAAATAAAGACCGGATTCCAGAAGTCGCTTCCACGACCTTTATTACACATACATAACAAAAACTCACAGCTCACTGCATTCGGGATGTAAACTTACGGATAACACAAAAGGGGATTTGCCCAGAACAGCTGCACCGAACCTCAAGGCAGCAGGATCCTGTCCGGAGATGTCTATCCAATGGGGTGCTGCGGTGGCGAGATGTTAACTGCCTTGCCTGGTATACCGGTCATGGATTTGATCCTAACCCTGACACCAATACTCCTAGGTTTTTTCGGTAAAGGCACGTAGGTAAAAAATAAATAATAAAAATGAATAATAATAAATAATATAAACATTTTTTAAAATAAAAATGTTCTATTTTTTTATTTCTATTATTTTCTATTATTTTTATTACTTCTTTTTATTATTTATTTTTTACCTACGTGACTTTACCGAAAAAACCTAAGAGTATGAATCATTGCAGTCACGAAAGCTTCAAATCTAGAACCGACTCCAATATACATGGAGTTTGCATGTGTGATCGTGTGGATTTTTCTCCGCGTCTTCCCTGTTTTTCTCTCCAAGGTTACAAACGTGCATTTAGAGTATATGGCTGCTTATACATTTCCACATGATGATAAGCCACCTCTTTGAGCTATCATTTGCGATAGCCAGGTCACTCCCTGAAAAAACTAACCCGTAAAAACAAAGTTTTTCACTATAAATCCATTATATGCGTGGCATCGGTTTTATTTTATTATGTTTTTCTTGAGTAAGAGTTTCATTTTTATCACATTGGTATTTTAAATTAAATATGACATTTTTTTTTTCCTAAAAAGTGAAAAATTTTTGCATTTTTTTTCTCACGAAAATGCATTGTCACGCACAACGAGTCTGTGTGCAAAATGTCAGCTCGATTGGATCACGGGAAGTGGGTTAAAAACGACCGAAATATTTGCACGGTCGTAAGCAAGCAAGTGAACTTAATATAAAAGATTTAAAAATAGCTACGTAGCTCAGTGGCCTTAGCCTGGTGAAATAAAATAAATAGTTCACTCTGCGGTAGCGGGAGGAAACCCGGAGCTAAACCAACTCTTATAAGAGTGGACACCACATGGAGGTCTGCAAGGACCGGTAATTACAGGTAGTCCTCTGCTTACGATGGAGATGCGTTACGACGACCCCATCGTAAGTCGAAAATATCGTAAGTCGAAGATGGTCTAGCCTGCCCAGGAGTCTTAAAGAATGGTGACAATTTAGCAAAACAGAGCAATTTAGAGTACTGTACTCTATAAACTATATACTGTATGTATTTATTAATTACAATACTGTATTGCACAGTAAAATTGAAAGTAAAAAAAGCAAGGTAAATTCTTAGCCTACCTATGTGAACTGCAATTTAATAGAAAGTTTTTTTTCAGGAAACAATCCTATCTGCTATAAAAACTTTTAACATGCATTGAACGTATCGTATAGTGGTAACCCTAAAATGAAATCGCTAAAGCTACGTATCATAGCGTAGTGTATAGTGTAATGTAGTGTATAGTAATCATGTAGTGTGTAGTGTAGTGTATAGTAGTGTATAGTGTAGTGTATAGTAATAATGTAGTGTATAGTGTAGTGTATAGTAGTGTATAGTGTAGTGTATAGTAATCATGTAGTGTATAGTGTAGTGTATAGTGTAGTGTATAGTAGTGTATAGTGTAGTGTATAGTAATCATGTAGTGTATAGTGTAGTGTATAGTGTAGTGTATAGTAGTGTATAGTGTAGTGTATAGTAATCATGTAGTGTATAGTGTAGTGTATAGTGTAGTGTATAGTGTAGTGTATAGTAGTGTATAGTGTAGTGTATAGTGTAGTGTATAGTAGTGTATAGTGTAGTGTATACATGCATTGAACGTATCGTTACGTATCACATTGTGCCGTACTCGCCAAGATTCTGTCCGTCGTCTGCATACTTGAACGATGTTAGGTTGTCGGTGGCAATTTTGTCGAATCGCTATCGCCATCGTAAGATCGAAATATCGTAAGTCGGACCCCATCGTAACTCGGGGACTACCTGTATTATAAAATCCGCGTGATGCGTTGCCATGCTCTCTAAGTTTGGGAGTGTCGTAGCGGGGTCACCAGCCGTACTGGGAACGAAGCCCCCCCCCCCACCCCTCCCCACCCCCAAGGCATCACAATCTAATTCTAGATTTGAAGCTTTCGTGACTGCAAGGATTCATACTCTTAGGTTTTTTCGGTAAAGTCACGTTATTGTACAGTATTATACAGTAAATTCAGCTGTGACGGTCCCACCTGATGACGGAGACTTGTGTTGCCTCCGAAACGTCGCGATTAATTATTTTATTTCTATTATTAGTACTATTTATTATTTATTATTTATTTTTTACCTACGTGACTTTATCGAAAAAACCTAAGAGTGTACATCACAATCTGTGATGGTGCCAACCCCACCAGGAACCTACACACGGGGCTGGCACGGGGTCGAGGGGAAGCGCTCAAGCGATTGCCATACCTTGCCTGATCAGCTCCTTAAACTGGTCCTTCTCCTTGTAGTTCTTGGGCAGACTGCCATCGTGCTGCAAGCACACGCACAGCGTCACAGTGTAAGATAACGACACGGGCCCAGGAGAAAGAGAGAGCAAGAGAGTGACGGGGTAACGTTTATTCTTTGGTTCTTTCGGTTAAGTCACGTCTAAAGATAAAATAGTAAATTAAATAATAGCATATTACGACGTTTCGATTGCAACACAAGCAATCATCATCAGGCATAAAAGAAATAGCAACAAAAATCTGTCTGTAGTTTTCTAGTTAGATTTTTGTTGCTATTTCTTTTATGCCTGATGATGATTGCTTGTGTTGCAATCGAAACGTCGTAATATGCTATTATTTAATTTATTATTTTATCTTTAGACGTGACTTAACCGAAAGAACCAAAGAATAATTCCTGCAGTCACGAAAGCTCCAAAATTAAGACGGGGTAACGTTTAAGAAACAAGCCGCGAGCACGGTGACGGGAGGGAACCGGGCGAAGGGACGACCGTCACCTGTGACCTCCACACGTCCAAATACTTGGCTACCACCACCAGCCATGGCGTATGACTGTGCTCCTGTTGATCACACACACACAGAAAGACAAACATCACGAACGTATTCTAAACAGGCTATTGGTGGAAAATGCAAGTGACAGCATACTGAGATCAGAAGTATAATTTTTTTCAAGAGACCTGCGTACTCATTTAGCGAATTACTCATTTAAGGCTGAATCAACCTAGGGGCGGACCAGGATACGGTTCAAATGCCACAAGCTACTGATACTATCCATGATTGCTGAACAAACTCCGGCCATCGGGAGCGTAACACGGTGCCACAAGCCATCAATGCTTGCGTACACGTACAAACACACGCGCACGCAAACAATAACAACCGCTTAACACGAAGGCTTTCGCGACCAATATTATTCATAATCAACGTTTTTGGGTTAGATCGCGTTATTTATAAATGATTTCACGCTTCAACACACCGGTGGGCTAAAGCAGTGAACTATTTTGTCTTTTGTCAACGTGACACTTTTTTGCTGATTGGCCGTGTCGGGTGGTGGAGGGTTAGGACACATTTATAAATAACGCGATCTAAACCAAAAACGCACACACATTCACACGTAATTCTGCCACGTGGGATAAGATGAAGAAGACGGTCGTGAAGCTCTTATAGAGGGAAATGGGGTGCCGCGGTGGTCAGATGTTAACTCCCTGGCCTGGTGTGCAGGAGGACGTGGGTTCCAGTTTGCATCCTTCCACAATGAGAATCAACATCACGTGTTTAAGAGTATTTGGCTGAATTTTTTTTTTGTCAAGGCTCCCTCCTCCTCTAACCCAGCTTAAATATACGCTGCCAAGCTTGGTGGTGTTTCATTCAGACGCTGTCTTTCCGACAGACCTGTTCTTCACCTGAGGATGGCTGCTTGCGTTGTGGCCGAAACGTCGTGAGAATTGTATTTTATTATGTTTTATTTTTATTATTTCCCTTCTACGTGACTTTACCGAAAGAACCAAGAAGAGGAGTATTTGGCTGCTAGAAATATCCACGTGATGATAAGCCACCTCGTTGAGCTATCATTTGTGGCCAAGTCGCTTCCGAAAAAGAGCTAGACAGCTCAGTGCTAAAATTAGTCAAGAGTTTACACCATTGGAACCTCATTTGCCAGTAAAAAATATGATAATTGGTTTTTTACCCTTCTATCTGGCAACAAAACTGACACCTTTTTTTTTTTACAAGGAGTCATGTTTGCATAGACCACAATATCTGCAGTTATAATGCATTATGACTGCAGGTATTGTGGTCTATGCAAACATGACTCCTTGTAAAAAAAGGTGTCAGTTTTGTTGCCAGATAGAAGGGTAAAAAAACAATTATCTTAGTCAAGAGTTCTTATTTTAGTTTTGGCCATAATCTAGCCTCTGCTGGGATGAAGGCCTCCCCAAAGCCCACTCCATCTCGCACAGCAAGGCAGCCCCATCCATCCATCCACCTCCTGCGCACGACGTCCAATTGTGTGACACGGAGTTCACCGGGAGTGTGTGTGTGTGTGTGGGGGGTGAGGGTGGCGGGCAGGTGTGAAGCACCTTCTTGTCGAGGAGGGCCAGGTCGCAGGAAGCCAGGTGTTTGACGAGCGCCGGGAAGGGACGGTCGAGGCGCAGGTCTTCGAGCGCGTTGTCCGGGTGCGACTCGACGACCGTGTGCTCGCGAAGTGCCACGCGCATGTAGCCCGCCATGCCGTAGGCTCGGCACGCCAGCAACGGCACGCCCGCCTGCCACAGCACCGCCGCCAGCCGCAGCAGCGTGCTGTCGGGCGGAGGGGTGCGGACGCGGCGGAACGTGCGTGCGTTGAACTGCTTCTTTCGCGCCGTGCGGAGCCGACCGTGTGACGACGCGAGGGGTCGCCGTGTGACGTCGCGAGGGGTCGCCGTGTGACGACGCGAGGGGTCGCCGTGTGACGTCGCGAGGGGTCGCCGTGTGACGTCGCGAGGGGTCGCCGCGTGACGACGCGAGGGGTCGCCGCGTGACGACGCGAGGGGTCGCCGCGTGACGTCGCGAGGGGTCGCCGCGTGACGACGCGAGGGGTCGCCGCGTGACGACGCGAGGGGTCGCCGCGTGACGGCGCGAGGGGTCGCCGCGTGACGGCGCGAGGGGTCGCCGCGTGACGTCGCGAGGGGTCGCCGCGTGACGACGCGAGGGGTCGCCGCGTGACGACGCGAGGGGTCGCCGCGTGACGACGCGAGGGGTCGCCGTGTGACGTCGCGAGGGGTCGCGGCGTGACGACGCGAGGGGTCGCCGCGTGACGTCGCGAGGGGTCGCCGCGCGACGACGCGAGGGGTCGCCGCGCGACGACGCGAGGGGTCGCCGCGCGACGACGCGAGGGGTCGCCGCGCGACGACGCGAGGGGTCGCCGCGCGACGACGCGAGGGGTCGCCGCGCGACGACGCGAGGGGTCGCCGCGCGACGTCGCGAGGGGTCGCCGCGCGACGACGCGAGGGGTCGCCGCGCGACGACGCGAGGGGTCGCCGTGCGACGACGCGAGGGGTCGCCGCGCGACGACGCGAGGGGTCGCCGTGACGACGCGAGGGGTCGCCGTGCGACGACGCGAGGGGTCGCCGTGTGACGACGCGAGGGGTCGCCGTATGACGTCGCGAGGGGTCGCCGTTTGACGACGCGAGGGGTCGCCGTGTGACGACGCGAGGGGTCGCCGTGTGACGTCGCGAGGGGTCGCCGTGTGACGTCGCGAGGGGTCGCCGTGTGACATCGCGAGGGGTCGCCGTGTGACGTCGCGAGGGGTTGTCGCGAGGGGTCGCCGTGTGACGTCGCGAGGGGTCGCCGTGTGACGTCGCGAGGGGTCGCGGTGTGACGACGCGAGGGGTCGCCGTGTGACGACGCGAGGGGTCGCCGTGACGACGCGAGGGGTCGCCGTGACGACGCGAGGGGTCGCCGTGTGACGACGCGAGGGGTCGCCGTGTGACGACGCGAGGGGTCGCGGTGTGACGTCGCGAGGGGTCGCCGTGTGACGTCGCGAGGGGTCGCCGTGTGACGTCGCGAGGGGTCGCCGTGTGACGTCGCGAGGGGTCGCCGTGTGACGTCGCGAGGGGTTGTCGCGAGGGGTCGCCGTGACGACGCGAGGGGTCGCCGTGTGACGACGCGAGGGGTCGCCGTGTGACGACGCGAGGGGTCGCCGTGTGACGTCGCGAGGGGTCGCCGTTTGACGACGCGAGGGGTCGCCGTTTGACGACGCGAGGGGTCGCCGTGTGACGACGCGAGAGGTCGCCGTGTGACGACGCGAGGGGTCGCCGTTTGACGACGCGAGGGGTCGCCGCGCGACGACGCGAGGGGTCGCCGCGCGACGTCGCGAGGGGTCGCCGCGCGACGACGCGAGGGGTCGCCGCGCGACGACGCGAGGGGTCGCCGTGCGACGACGCGAGGGGTCGCCGTGACGACGCGAGGGGTCGCCGTGTGACGACGCGAGGGGTCGCCGTGTGACGACGCGAGGGGTCGCCGTATGACGTCGCGAGGGGTCGCCGTTTGACGACGCGAGGGGTCGCCGTGTGACGACGCGAGGGGTCGCCGTGTGACGTCGCGAGGGGTCGCCGTGTGACGTCGCGAGGGGTCGCCGTGTGACATCGCGAGGGGTCGCCGTGTGACGTCGCGAGGGGTTGTCGCGAGGGGTCGCCGTGTGACGTCGCGAGGGGTCGCCGTGTGACGTCGCGAGGGGTCGCGGTGTGACGACGCGAGGGGTCGCCGTGTGACGACGCGAGGGGTCGCCGTGACGACGCGAGGGGTCGCCGTGACGACGCGAGGGGTCGCCGTGTGACGACGCGAGGGGTCGCCGTGTGACGACGCGAGGGGTCGCCGTGTGACGTCGCGAGGGGTCGCCGTGTGACGTCGCGAGGGGTCGCCGTGTGACGTCGCGAGGGGTCGCCGTGTGACGTCGCGAGGGGTCGCCGTGTGACGTCGCGAGGGGTTGTCGCGAGGGGTCGCCGTGACGACGCGAGGGGTCGCCGTGTGACGACGCGAGGGGTCGCCGTGTGACGACGCGAGGGGTCGCCGTGTGACGTCGCGAGGGGTCGCCGTTTGACGACGCGAGGGGTCGCCGTTTGACGACGCGAGGGGTCGCCGTGTGACGACGCGAGAGGTCGCCGTGTGACGACGCGAGGGGTCGCCGTTTGACGACGCGAGAGGTCGCGGTGTGACGTCGCGAGGGGTCGCGGTGTGACGTCGCGAGGGGTCGCCGTGTGACGTCGCGAGGGGTCGCCGTGTGACGTCGCGAGGGGTCGTCGCGAGGGGTCGCCGTGTGACGTCGCGAGGGGTCGCCGTGTGACGTCGCGAGGGGTCGCCGTTTGACGTCGCGAGGGGTCACGGTGTGACGACGCGAGGGGTCGCCGTGTGACGTCGCGAGGGGTCACGGTGTGACGACGCGAGGGGTCGCCGTGTGACGACGCGAGGGTCGGAGGGGGAACGGCGAGGAGAGCGTGGCGTGAGGCGAGGTTCCGGGCGGCTGGTGCATTACCTTTCCGGCAGCTGTGTGGTGATGACCACGGTGAACTTGTGAAAGAACGTGGGCTCCTTTTCTAAGACTTTCTCCACAGCCTGTTGCATTAAAAGAAACAAATTCACGTCGGAAAATTGCCGCGTGAATGTTAAAATCTGTAAACGTTTCATCATTATTTTTCCCACACCGATCTTTCTGCATGTAAAATGTTTCCTTCTCATAAGTATCCGAGGTATCAATGGAAATAAATAAAAAATTAAAAAATACTTTTTTTAAAAACTCGCTTTAATGAAATGTACTGTCCGAGCTGCCCCTCCCCCTGCCCCCTTCCCCCATCGCCCCTCCCCTCCTTCCACATCCCCCGCCCCTCGGCGTGGCTCCCTGAGGCTTTCCGTGACGTAAGGGACCGTGGTGATTTACAGGCAACGCGAGTTGAGCGTCGACAATTAGAGCCGTAAAAAAGATTGTTAAAAAATATTTATTTTTAATTTTCAATGATAGAATATAGTATTGTCATCAGTATGAAATACCGATACCAAGTTTGCAGTCGATACGACATTGGGATTACGGTTGAAATTGAGTTACAAGATTTTTGGATACGACAACACATACAGTAAGTTAAATGAAAGTGTGTAAAAAGTTTTAAAATACATGTTTTGGATTTTCAATGATAGAATATCGTGTTGTCATCAGTATGACATAGCTATTTTAAGTTTGCAGTCGATAGCACATTGGTAAGTGGATTAAAATTCAGTTACAATATTTCTTTTTTGAGGATACAACAGACGGAGTTAAATAAAAGCGTGTAAAAAAGAGCGGTCCCGATGATGCCCTATCGCCTGCTACTAAACAATAGCTTTCTTTTTTCACACTTTTGTTATGCAGGCCAGGCGTAGTCACAAACCGAACCTCTCCATAAGTATAACCCGTAAAAACAAAGTTTTTCACTATAAATCCTTTATATGCGTGGCAGCGAACTTAATATAAAGGATTTAAAAATATATTCGCCTGTGGAGGACGCGGGGATCGATCCCGCGACCTTTGGCATGGGAAGCGAGGGCGCTACCAACTGCGCTACTCCGCCACGGCCTGTGGAGGGGTTACGCTCTGGGCTCTTACACTCTGACGTTCAGCCAAAGCCATGAATGCGTTCTATTTGAATATATGTAAAATAATTGTTTTTTGCCTAAAAAGTGTAAAATCTTGGGAATTTTTTTTCACGAACATTAATTGTCACGCACAACGAGGCTGTGTGGAAAATGTCAGCTCGATTGGATCACGGGAAGTGGGTTAAAAAACGACCGAAAGATTTGCACGGTCCTAAGCAAGCAAGCAAGCACGCAAGCAAGCAAGCAAGCACGCAAGCAAGCAAGCATGCAAACTTAATATAAAGGATTTAATAAACTTCCTCAAACGAGCAACTTATAACTCCGTCTGTCGTCTTACCTCCTCAACAAAGTTTCCAGACACGTCGCTGTTCAGCTCCTGGATGAGATGCATCGCCGTCTTCGCTCGACTCTGCAACACAAGCACGGCCTAGAGCAGCGGTCGGGAACCTATGGCTCGCGAGCCATATATGGCTCTTCTGGTGACGGCATATGGCTCCCAGACAATTTTGAGTTGAAAAAAAAATACAAAAATCAGTTTGGAACTGATTTTAAATTACTTGTGATATTGCTTAATAATACTGTGTCATTTTAAAGTAATCAGAAATTAGTTTTGAAGATAAAATTTCTCGGGTCACGGGGCCTCAACGCCTGCATGAAGCTCAACCTCACCACGTACGAACCAGACTACAAGGCCATCAGCAAAACCATGCAGCACCAGAAGTCGCATTAAAAGTGATGCATATTTAATTTATTATACGTTAAAAATACTATATGGCTCTCAATGCAATATATTTAGAAATATTTGGCTTTTATGGCTCTCCCAGTCAAAAAGGTTCCCGACCCCTGGGCTAGAATGTCCTTCTCTCTACATGCATCGTAACCTACGACCTTGATCACAACCCTTGGTCATCACAAAACTCTGAGCCCTCGTAAGATTACCGATTATGTTACGAGAAGAAAACCCATTTTTTGAGCACTGAACTCATGAACGCACGGCCCGGCCCATCGTTGCGTGCCACGTGGTGGTCAATTTCTCAACATTTTTATAATATCCCTGAGCACAATGGCAGAAATATGTCCAGGAGATAGATGCCGATGTCGAGGCCTTCCAGCCACGACGGGAAGACTTCAGGAGTTCGTTCGTGTCGGTTTGCTGTTCCTCCTCCGTTGAAGGAGTGGATACCAGTCGCTTTGCTAGTTGGGTCCCTAGTTTTGGTTGCTGGCCACAAACACATTCCTGCGGAGGGAGCTGGTAGGAACGTTGGGTTGCTCGGTCAATGGCCTGCAGGGTCAACGGCGGCGTGGTGTATTCCGCAAATATGGCCAACTGTGAGGGCCGGGCACAAGCCGGCGTGAGTAGGTTAAACGTTGAGTTTTCTAAGGGCACCACGGGGTGACCAGCCCCTCCCCACCCAGCCCCACCCTCCCCACCCCCCACCCAGCCCCACCCTCCCCAACCCCACCCAGCCCCACCCTCCCCACCCAGCCCCTCCCCACCCAGCCCCTCCCCACTCTCTCCACCCAGCCCCTCCCCACCCAGCCCCTCCCCACTCTCTCCACCCAGCCCCACCCTCCCCACCCCCCACCCAGCCCCACCCTCCCCACCCAGCCCCTCCCCACCCAGCCCCTCCCCACTCTCTCCACCCAGCCCCTCCCCACCCTCCCCTCCCCACCCAGCCCCTCCCTCCCCACCCAGCCCCTCCCTGCACGACGGACGGACGGACACAATAATCCCCTGTGGGCTGGTGTAACCAGGAGGTTCCTACCAGTGTTAAACTGCTGTAGCTTGTCTTTATTGAATATCTCTATGGGTCTATGTATCTCTTTCATGAGTACAGACTGCAGTGGTGTACTTGGCTTGCATGGCCACAAATGCACTGTGGCTTGTTTTGCATTGGGGAAAACCGTTCAAACTCTGCCATGCGGCATCGGGAGGGGCCTGACTGAGTAAAGACGTGAAAACTAGAACTGTGAATGGGCTCGGGGTTGATAATGTTGTTTTTGTTGTTGTATTTTTGATAATTGCATTGCGAAAAAAAGAACGTGAAAAGCATCATAGGTTTCGATTCCCGCTCATGGCCAACATGAGTGACCATTAACTGAACTGGTCCTGGTCTTCCCCCTAGCTCGACTCAGCCTCAATTGAGTAACCGGTGCGATGTGCAAACATCGCCACTCGGGAGACAAAGGTGGTTGGGCGTGGTGCTGGCCACCCACCCCCTCGTGTACTGTGCCGGCCTTCATAGGTGCTCGTTAACAGCACTTGCACCTATGGTCTGTTAAGGCTACACATGGAATCTTTGTCTTTGTGTGTCTGTTCAAATGAACCACACCGTGCCTGATGATCCCTGGCGCTGGTGCTTTTCTTTGGCTGCCACTGACCATACTCTTAGGTTTTTTCGGTAAAGTCACGTAGGTAAAAATAATAAGAATAATAAAATAATAATAAAATGAAAATAACTAAATTAAATCACGACGTTTCGGAGGCAACACAAGTCTCCGTCTTCAGGTGGGACCGTCACAGCCAAATTTACTGTACAAGACAGAGACTTGTGTTGCCTCCGAAACGTCGTGATTTAATTATTATTTTATTTTTTATTATTTTTTACCTACGTGACTTTACCGAAAAAACCTAAGAGTATGAATCCTTGCAGTCACGAAAGCTTCAAATCTGCCACTGACCAAGTACATTGAGCATGCGACCTGCACTTTGAATATTAGCCCGAGCCAATCGGTTCAATCGTTCCTAAAATCAAACTGGATTGGACTATCTAGTTTGTGAAATTTTCCTATCCGATTGCCAAAATAATAATAATTAAATGATGACGTCACCCTGATGCTGCTCTATTTAAGACCGGAAGCAACAGGAGAGCTTCACCATTCTTGCCCGATGAAGCTGATTGTAATTATCAGCGAAACGACGTGCTACTCAAATTTTCAAATGCTGTTGATTCTCTCTTCAACACACACCGGTGGGCTAAAAAAGTCAATTAATTTGTCCTTTGAAAAACGTGACACATTTTTTACTGTTTGGTCGTGTCGGGTGATGGAGGGTTACGACACATTTATAAATAACGCGATCTGACCCAAAAACCTTTATTATGAATAATATTGGTCGCGAAAGCCTTTGTGTTAAAATAATAATCGAAAAATCTATAAATGATGAACGACCCTTACAAAGGACACCTCAACATGAATTTCATTACCTCGCCAATGCTGCTCTTGTCCAAAAAGAAACTGTTACAACAAAAACAGAAAATGTTTTAGGACCACACAAAGCTGCAATCGTCGTGTATTTAAATGAATAGCACTGCGATGAGAAGGCAGAGTCCACACGTGTAAGAAACCTTACTTGTTGCCAATATCTTCCCCACTGACTTTGTTCCCATCCAAAATCGTAAAGGCGCCAATGCCTGAAACGGAAACAAGAAATTAAAGTGTCAACGCACAACCTTCCATGCAAGTTTCACATTCCAACCACGCGGTGTTGTGAGCGCAATAGCTGGGTTTTAACCCCCCACGAGTAGAGCTTTTTCCTTGTCAATGAAATTCATGAATTCGATAAGGGAAGCATTTATCACGGGGTCGAAGTGTCCCCCCGCCTCTATGCGAGAAGGAGTGGACGGAGGCACGCACCAGGCAGCACCAGGTTTTTCAGGATCTCGGTTCCCGTCGCGCTGGCGTTGATCAGACACACGTGGGCGTTCTCCAAGGCTTGCTGCCCATGGTCGCCCCACAGCCTGTCACACGCCCAATGTTGATGAAAAAAAACGGAGTGGTCAGTCTTGGGCTCGATGCAGAGGGACAACGATTGAAGGGGAGAAGCGTAAGACGTGCATTGAAATGCAGGCTCGCTGCCTCTCCCTCTCATCTCACTCCACTCCCCTCCATGCACTCTCCTACCTCTCATCTCACTCCATGCACTCTCCTACCTCTCCCTCTCATCTCACTCCACTCCCCTCCACGCACTCTCTTACCTCTCCCCTCTCATCTCACTCTACTCCCCTCCACGCACTCTCCTACCTCTCTCCTCTCATCTCACTCCAATTCCCTCCACGCACTCTCCTACCTCTCCCCTCTCATCTCAATCAACTCCCCTCCACGCACTCTCCTACCTCTCTCCTCTCATCTCACTCCAATTCCCTCCATGCACTCTCCTACCTCTCCCCTCTCATCTCACTCCATTCCGCTCCACGCACTCTCCTACCTCTCCCCTCTTATCTCACTCCACTCCCCTCCACGCACTCTCCTACCTCTCCCCTCTCATCTCACTCTACTCCCCTCCACACACTCTCCTGCCTCTCCCCTCTAATCTCACTCCACTCCCCTCCACGCACTCTCCTGCCTCTCCCCTCTCATCTCACTCCACTCCCCTCCACGCACTCTCCTGCCTCTCCCCTCTCATCTCACTCCACTCCCCTCCATACACTCTCCTGCCTCTCCCCTCTAATCTCACTCCACTCCCCTCCACGCACTCTCCTGCCTCTCCCCTCTCATCTCACTCCACTCCCCTCCACACACTCTCCTGCCTCTCCCCTCTAATCTCACTCCACTCCCCTCCACGCACTCTCCTGCCTCTCCCCTCTCATCTCACTCCACTCCCCTCCACGCACTCTCCTGCCTCTCCCCTCTCATCTCACTCCACTCCCCTCCATACACTCTCCTGCCTCTCCCCTCTCATCTCACTCCACTCCCCTCCACGCACTCTCCTGCCTCTCCCCTCTCATCTCACTCCACTCCCCTCCACGCACTCTCCTGCCTCTCCCCTCTCATCTCACTCCACTCCCCTCCATGCACTCTGCTGCCTCTCCCCTCTCATCTCACTCTACTCCCCTCCACGCACTCTCCTACCTCTCCCCTCTCATCTCAATCAACTCCCCTCCACGCACTCGCCTACCTCTCTCCTCTCATCTCACTCCAATTCCCTCCATGCACTCTCCTACCTCTCCCCTCTCATCTCACTCCATTCCGCTCCACGCACTCTCCTACCTCTCCCCTCTTATCTCACTCCACTCCCCTCCACGCACTCTCCTACCTCTCCCCTCTCATCTAACTCTACTCCCCTCCACACACTCTCCTGCCTCTCCCCTCTAATCTCACTCCACTCCCCTCCACGCACTCTCCTGCCTCTCCCCTCTCATCTCACTCCACTCCCCTCCACGCACTCTCCTGCCTCTCCCCTCTCATCTCACTCCACTCCCCTCCATACACTCTCCTGCCTCTCCCCTCTAATCTCACTCCACTCCCCTCCACACACTCTCCTGCCTCTCCCCTCTCATCTCACTCCACTCCCCTCCACACACTCTCCTGCCTCTCCCCTCTAATCTCACTCCACTCCCCTCCACGCACTCTCCTGCCTCTCCCCTCTCATCTCACTCCACTCCCCTCCACGCACTCTCCTGCCTCTCCCCTCTCATCTCACTCCACTCCCCTCCATACACTCTCCTGCCTCTCCCCTCTCATCTCACTCCACTCCCCTCCACGCACTCTCCTGCCTCTCCCCTCTCATCTCACTCCACTCCCCTCCACGCACTCTCCTGCCTCTCCCCTCTCATCTCACTCAACTCCCCTCCACGCACTCTGAGCAGGTCAGTGAAGGAAACCCCCATTACTGCACAGTACCTCCATGTATCCACGTGTGTGCTACACGCATTCAACCCGCACTGACCGGCGTGGTGAAGTATGGTGAAACAAAAACCCAGCAAAACCCACCGGTGTGGTGAAGTATGGTGAAATAAAAAACCCAAAAACCCGCCGGCGTGGGGAGGCCCTCATCCAGCGGTGGATTGACAAAATACAAAAAACATTTATACACCACGGCAAGTGTGATGAGCCGGGTCGACTCTGCCCATCACACCAACCATGGTCGTGAAATCAAGAACCACTTTGCAGGAATCCCAAGCGAGTTGATTTCCCTACTGACAAGAGCACGCTCGCGCCAGAGCAATGTGGAGTTTCCACCAATGTCACGGGGCTATATAAACAACAACAAAAACTCGTGATAAGAAAAATTGCGGCAGAGAATTTAAAGAGGTGGACTCCGGTGGACTCCGAAGCGAACTGACCCCAACAACACTCGACCCTAATTCTAGATTTGAAGTTTTCGTGACTGCAAGTGGCATCTACATCTACAGAACGTGAAGAACCAGTGGCATCTACATCTGCAGAACGTGAAGAACCAGTGGCATCTACATCTGCAGAACATGAAGAACCAGTGGCATCTACATCTGCAGAACGTGAAGAAACAGTGGCATCTACATCTGCAGAACATGAAGAACCAGTGGCATCTACATCTGCAGAACGTGAAGAACCAGTGGCATCTACATCTGCAGAACGTGAAGAACCAGGGGCATCTACATCTGCAGAACTTGAAGAACCAGTGGCATCTACATCTGCAGAACGTGAAGAACCAGTTGGCATCTACATCTGCAGAAACGTGAAGAACCAGTGGCATTCTACATCTGCAGAACATGAAGAACCAGTGGCATCTACATCTGCAGAACGTGAAGAACCAGTGGCATCTACATCTGCAGAACATGAAGAACCAGTGGCATCTACATCTGCCAGAACATGAAGAACCAGTGGCATCTACATCTGCAGAACGTGAAGAACCAGTGGCATTTACTCTGCAGAACATGAAGAACCAGTGGCATCTACATCTGCAGAACGATGAAGAACCAGTGGCATCTACATCTGCAGAACGTGAAGAACCAGTGGCATCTACATCTGCAGACAGTGAAGAACCAGTGGGCATATACATCTGCAGACAGTGAAGAACCAGTGGCATCTACATCTGCAGAACGTGAAGAACCAGTGGCATCTACATCTGCAGAACGTGAAGAACCAGTGGCATCTACATCTGCAGAACGTGAAGAACCAGTGGCATCTACATCTGCAGAACGTGAAGAACCAGTGGCATCTACATCTGCAGAACGTGAAGAACCAGTGGCATCTACATCTGCAGAACGTGAAGAACCAGTGGCATCTACATCTGCAGAACGTGAAGAACCAGTGGCATCTACATCTGCAGAACGTGAAGAACCAGTGGCATCTACATCTGCAGAACGTGAAGAACCAGTGGCATCTACATCTGCAGAACGTGAAGAACCAGTGGCATCTACATCTGCAGAACGTGAAGAACCAGTGGCATCTACATCTGCAGAACGTGAAGAACCAGTGGCATCTACATCTGCAGAACGTGAAGAACCAGTGGCATCTACATCTGCAGAACGTGAAGAACCAGTGGCATCTACATCTGCAGAACGTGAAGAACCAGTGGCATCTACATCTGCAGAACGTGAAGAACCAGTGGCATCTACATCTGCAGAACGTGAAGAACCAGTGGCATCTACATCTGCAGAACGTGAAGAACCAGTGGCATCTACATCTAGAACGTGAAGAACCAGTGGCATCTACATCTGCAGAACGTGAAGAACCAGTGGCATCTACATCTGCAGAACGTGAAGAACCAGTGGCATCTACATCTGCAGAACGTGAAGAACCAGTGGCATCTACATCTGCAGAACGTGAAGAACCAGTGGCATCTACATCTACAGAACGTGAAGAACCAGTGGCATCTACATCTGCAGAACGTGAAGAACCAGTGGCATCTACATCTGCAGAACGTGAAGAACCAGTGGCATCTACATCTGCAGAACGTGAAGAACCAGTGGCATCTACATCTGCAGAACGTGAAGAACCAGTGGCATCTACATCTGCAGAACGTGAAGAACCAGTGGCATCTACATCTACAGAACGTGAAGAACCAGTGGCATCTACATCTGCAGAGAACGTGAAGAACCAGTGGCATCTACATCTGCAGAACGTGAAGAACCAGTGGCATCTACATCTGCAGAACGTGAAGAACCAGTAGCATCTATATCTGCAGAACGTGAAGAACCAGTGGCATCTACATCTACAGAACGTGAAAAACCAGTGGCATCTACATCTGCAGAACGTGAAGAACCAGTGGCATCTACATCTGCAGAACGTGAAGAACCAGTGGCATCTACATCTACAGAACGTGAAGAACCAGTGGCATCTACATCTACAGAACGTGAAGAACCAGTGGCATCTACATCTGCAGAACGTGAAGAACCAGTGGCATCTACATCTGCAGAACGTGAAGAACCAGTGGCATCTACATCTGCAGAACGTGAAGAACCAGTAGCATCTATATCTGCAGAACGTGAAGAACCAGTGGTTTTTCACGTAGGAAAAAAAGTAAGTAAATAAAATTCAATGAAAACTAAAATGAAATTTAATCAAATCACGACGTTTCGGGCGCAACACAAGCGTCCTTCTTCAGGTAAGGACAACGAAACGTCAGCACAACAACTTAAAATTTTGACCCCCAACAACACCGCCCCCCCCCTACCCCCCACGCTGCATTTCGCCTGCGGGGAATCATCGCCCGACCCCGGCACAACTTTCAGGAAACGCCGTAGGCCTACCGGCGTGCCCGAGTCACAAACAAGCGCCGGTTCTCCCCGGCGGCTTCCTGCGCCTTCCTCAAAAACAAAACACAAAACGGAGAGCGCGCGAGACCGCGGACGTCGCAATGGGCGGCATTCACCTCAGCTGTCGGTCATATTTCTTCTCTTTCTCTTTAGCAAGCGTGCAGGTCTTGACGGCCAAGGCCATGGCGCCGTTGGCTGGTTACCGTCAGGGGGCAGTGGCGGCGCCGTTCGCGCGCTGCAGATTCACCGCCGCCACCGCAACGCCGATTGGCTATCACGGGACTCCTCGAGTTACGAACGGGTTAAGGTTCATCATGGGACCTCCTTTGCCAGTACCAAAATATACTAATAGGGGTTTTACCCCTTTTTTTGGCAACAAAACTGACACCTTTTGCAAGGAATCATGCTTACATTAACCACAATACTTGCAGTCAAATGCAAACAAAAACAATACTCTGATAATTTATGCATTGTCTTTGAAACTGATTGGTCCACACCAGAGACAGCTTTCTTTAGAGCCTAGTCTCATATGGTGTTCGACCAGATGACGCAAATGCAAACAAAAACAATACTCTGATATATATTCTTAGGTTTTTTCGGTAAAGTCACGTAGGTAAAACATTAAAATTAATAAAAGTAAAATAAAATAATTTTAATGTTTTACCCACGTGACTTTACCGAAAAAAACCTAAGAATATGAATCCTTGCAGTCACGAAAGCTTCAAGTCTAGAATACTCTGATAATTTATGCATTGTCTTTTGGCGTCATCTGGTCGAACACCATATGAGACTAGGCTGTAAAGAAAGCTGTCTCTGGTGTGGACCAATCAGTTTCAAGGACAATGCATACATTATCAGAGTATTGTTTTTTGTTTGCATTTGACTGCAAGTATTGTGGTTAATGTAAGCATGCTTCCTTGCAAAAGGTGTCAGTTTTGTTGCCAGAAAAAAAGGGGAAACCCCTATTAGTAGGGTTAAGGTTCGTAAGAGGTTTCTGTTCGTAAGTCGATTTGTTAGT